TCTTCGACTTCAACTGATTTCTTTTTATTTTTATCTTGTGCTTGTGTAGCACCTTTCTTCTTCGGATCATCTGCTGCTTTGGTACGTGAAAGAATCTGTTCAAAGCATTAAATAAAATGATTTGTTTTTATGAATAAAATACTGAACATACCATAATTATTATCTGATATCAATGAGATGAGAATAATGTTGAATTTTATTGTTTCTCACCATAAGTAAAATATTCAACTACGTAACTCCTCTAGTATATTTTATCAATATGAATGTACATAGATGTCACTGGAAACTTGTTTAAATTGTTGTATATCATATGCCTTTTCTAAATTATCGAAGTTTAATTACAAAAACAATTGAAATAAAGATATCAAATCGAAATGACTTATCTTATCTTAAATATAGATGTAAAAAATATTCCTGTAGTGTAAGAATATATACATATGATTTCTATTGTTAAATGCTAACCTACTTTATTACTTCGATATCAATTTTAAAATAGTCTTTCTATGATACTTTGCGTAACGTAAACGGCAAAAGTTTTTTAAAAATAAGAAAAAATAATCGTGCTTTTTTAATTAAAGAATAAGTTTTTGTTCTAGTGTCGTAACCAGGATTTTTCTATATACTGGATTTCAGCTTAAGAGCACGGATCTCAGAAGGAACTTAAGATGGGGGCCATCTTGGAACAGGGTTAGCAGATACTACAGTTGAAAATCTGAAAAAAACCCGAAAAGACTTTTAGGGCTCATTTTAATTCATAAAAGCTTTGTTTTTGAATCAAAGTATCAATAGCCTTATTGTTAATCTCTACAAAATATATTTCAAAGAAAAAAATGTCAAAACTATTTTCCTTTAGAAATGTGAATTCCCTTAGCCATTCATACTTAAATATTTGTTACATTTTTTCTCGTTTCTTTTTTGTTGTTGACCAGTTCTAGATGATATTGATGGTGCTTTTGATGATGGTTCAACTTCTTCATTTTGATCAAACATTCTGAATTTGTAAAACAAAAATGAATTCAAAATACAAGCGACTTTTTACTATTGTTGATAGACTACATAAGAAAAATGGTTGGTCATTTAGAGACTAGTAGAAGGGAGCACAAAACTTCTATAAAATCAGTAAAACTTTCTAAAATATAAATAAGTAGCTAAAACACAATTTTTCATATGAAAAATATTCGACAACCGCAAAAATCCGGAAATCCGAAAAATCTGGCAACCCTGGATTACACATTCGTTGTTAAACAGATATTACAAAAAACTACACCAACCGTTCAGTTATCTCCAACGGGTACAACACCAGTACATGATCGTTCTTTACCCAGGTAACATCCATCTCTCCATCGTCTGCAAACCGTTTTCACTCTCAGTGATACAATTAAAAAACTACAAACATTTTCCACCTTAACTTTGGTCTGACACTGATTCTCATGATTACCATCACTATGTCAACTAACCGACTCTTTTGATAAGCTTTTTTTTTCTTTCTTTTTCATGTTATCTTTCAGAATAATATTCTTTTTCTTTTTTTCGAGTCATTCCTATTTACTGTTTTTTTAGTCTCTTGCGTAGATCATCACTCTCGGTCTTCTGTATTCTTAATATATATATTCGAGTATAGTTCGACAGTTTAGGTTATCTTCTCTAAGTTTCATAAGAGACAGAGCTCACAAAAACCAATACCGCCAATAATAAAACTATATCAAAACTAAAAAGCTTGGTTTTGGTGCAATATTTTCAGCATCTTTCTCCTTTGTCTATCGTTACACGTTTTGTATTAATTCCCTCGATCTCAAAATAACGAACACTAATGCGCGCATGGTCGAATCGATATATAAGTGAGTAACATGTTTATGCAGAAAATGCCGTTCCTGTGGAAGCGCCAAGCAACTTGTTATTATTCCTTGTGACTCTCTTTAGCTCTTTCTACGTCCAAGACAGTATGCGAAGCTACTTATCCGTTTTTAATCGATCGCTAGATTGAAACTCTGTTTCGTTTGCATACAAACCGTTTTCAGTTCGAATACTTTCGTATGTGTCAGTCATCCATTTTATATTTTACAGTCAGGAACTTTTTTCACCTATAAATTAATCATTTCATGGGCAGAGTGATACAAATATATACCACTTTTTTGTTTTCAGTTGCATAATATGATAAACTAGAATTAATGTGTCTGATAGGAAGTATAATGATATTGTATAGATGAAATTAATTCATGGCTATTCGAGATTAAATAATACTGTTTATCTGTTTCTTCATGAGAGAGTTTTGAAAACAGTTATGATTAATTCGCATCTCAAAAAAAACTTGCTCATTCAACAGTCACTGATGGAAGAGTTAAATCTATTTTTCCTATAATATTAAAGTCTAACTAAGGAAGAAAAACCGAGACTCTCATACTCTCGAAGTACAATGAAAGTACAGGGGAGTAGAGCGAGAGAACAGTGGAAATACAGTGGAGTTATAGGAAAGATGAGCACGAGCGTGCAGATATAACTTTGGAAACAAAGAAAATCCTTTTAATTTAATCCCCACTCCCAGCTGTCAAAGCGATTTTAAGTATCTTTCGTCCGAAATACTTCATATTTGAATTGACTGATTCAGAAACATATGTAATGGAATCAGTGACCCGATATTAAAACTAAAAAGTAGAGATAGATAGGACTTTTGCTTGACCATCTTGAAAGGGCTGGATTATAAAAAACAAATTTTACACTCTGACATATTTTGTATCGTATTATTCGGTGTGTCTCGCTATTTTTGTCTCCTGTTTCTTACGACCGGAGTGTGAATATTACGTACTGTCAGATTAAACGCATAGAGAATTTTGAGAAATTCAAGAGCACCACTTGTCTTCTATCAATTCTTGATGTAATCATATTTTAGATTCGCTTAACTGAACAATGACATAATGCATCAATCATTTATGAGGCCCTACGTGTTTCAGCCGATATTGAAAAAAAAGTTTATTATTATATATTAACGATAATGTTGTCTATTCGCTGGATTTACTGTTTTATTTTACTTACATCGGTAGTATTAGCTTTTTTATCAGTAAAAATTCGGTGGACTCATAATTTACCATCATTTGTAAGTAATTCAATAGTTTTACAACCTTATCTCGTAATACATAGTTTATGCGATACTCATGATGATCGAGACTTAGTGAATCTACCAATGACACAAGATGGCCTCCCTGCAGTGGTTTCAGTTCTCGCAGGAAGTTCTAAGAAATTCTCTAAAGACAAACATTTTCTACAAGAAATCGACTTCTTATTAATGTTCGAACGTAACAACACTCCTATGTCGTCGAAACGCTGGACTCACTGTTTTTTGAACTGGGAACTGCAGTTATCGATAAAATGTGAAGTTCTTGGATACGGAGTTGTACAAGGAAACTTGACATTATCCTTTCTCTATAATATGTCTAAAGAAGGTCGTCTAGTTTGTCCAGTAGGTCCATTAAAGATACCAACCTCTAGTAACCTGACTGTGCGTTTGATTGACACAATGCATCATTTGAATGGATCGATCAAGTTATGCCTTCTAAATCCGTACAGGAAAATTCATAAACTGGTAGGATGTTCTCAACCGCTCTTTAATGTACACCAGCTTGAAGCAAAATGGCCTGGACTTATTCGTATGTGGGTTCTATTTTATGTCAAATATCTAAAGTTTGGAGCAGTAAGTATCTATGATATTGATGGAAGCACCGAGCCGTACATCAGTGAACTAGTTGAAAAAGGATTTATTAACTACTACAAACGTTGGTCACCGACTGAATCTATGCTTAATATCAGCTTAAATGGGTCAACTTATTGTGCTCAAACTATGATGGAAAACCAATGTTTATGGAAACACCGTGGTTTAAGTGAATGGGTTATGTTGATTCATTCGCCAGACAATTTTTTGAATGATTTTGCAGGAGCTCCAACTTTGACTGCTTATCTTGACAGTATTCAGCATAACACATCATTAACGTTACTTACAACATTAATATTCGGACATCCAAACATTACTATTCCAAAACAACAGCATGCAAACAATTTATTTAAAATTATTGTTAGTCGTGCTTGTGATCCACTCCGTTCACATAGACATCTTCCAGTAGCGAATCCTCGCGAAGTGATGATGTTGTTTGTGCATAATGCCATGGCACCATTTCACAAACTTCCAACTACCATCAATAATTGCTCAGCGAAAGTGAATCATTATGTAACTATGTTTCGTGTTCGATCAACCGATACATCCGAGAGAAACAAGACATTCTGTAATGATAATACATTGTATAAAAAATCTAGATCCTATCTATCACTGTTAAGAGATGACTATGACGCCATTAAGTATAATCATACTTCCGAAAAGTTTGACATACCTTTTTTTGTTAGCGAAAATAAAACAGCATAGGTAGAAACCTATAAAGAAATTTTTTTAGCTTTTTCTATCTTGTCGTTTGAGAGTTATGAATTATTTAATGTTATTCTAAAGACCTATACCTGTCGGTGTAGGGTGAGTTATTGCATATAGAACAATCAGAGAATGTCAGTGTCAAAGAATAGATTCAAAGCACAATACAACGCGTTTCGTCTTGGTGTAAGAGACTCATCAGGTATGCTTAGAATTGTGACTATTCGATTTAGTCCGAATGGCACATTTAGAAGGTGTGATGATGAGGGTGTGTACAGCTACCATAACATGTTTCACCTGTGGTACCAAGATCTTCAGAAGTTCTTGTTTCATTTGAACAGAATCAAAACAAAATTAATTCTATGCGGTTACACAAAGTTGTGATAAAACGATTATACAGTGATGAGACAAGCTGCCATGACATATGTTTCAACCGTGCTGAAGAGGCTTCTCCGTTGGCTTATCTTTTTAGATGATATGGGAGTTGATGTACGTTATGTTTAAGAAGTACTACAACTATAGTTCCGTCCTTTCTTAACGGAACTCGTCAGGTGGTGTTTAGCACTGGACAAATATGAAATGAAACTAAAGAGAAATTGACTATTATTGTCAAGTTCATAAATCAAATTCTTTTGTTACGTATCACATACAATGTAGAAGTTATCGAGAATAGAAATTAAAGGCGTTATTGGTTTATATATATTTTCAACTCTTTACATTCATTATCCTTTATCTATTTTTTCTCTTCTGCAATAAAAAACAAGATTCTTCGATTTTTTTTCTAAACATTCATTTTTTTATTAAACAGGAATATTATTTGTTCTTGCCCATGATCGCATAATTTTTATCATTTGATCTCCTTAAAACAAACACAAAAATTACATTTTTTGTTTCTTTAAATATTTCTCATTTTATTACCTTGAGGATGATTTGTATTTCGTAACAAAGATAAAATATCACGAAGTGTATCACTAGAAATAAGAAAAAAAGTATGACTACTATGTAAATATAGTATGTTTATTTTCTTACCGAGGTTCATGACCTGCAACAATTTGTTGAAATGCACCTGCACATGCACCTTGTTTACCTTCCCAAAACTCTGGATTTGGATCCATACGCTCAAGAATATCAAAACCACGAGCAGCATAAAAGAAATGACCACGCTAAAATCAATAACAAAAAAAGATTGCACATTACGCTTCTCTTTTTTTGATGTATTGTTTTACTTTATAACAATCATTTGCAATTAATTGAAGAAGTGTAAATGACTCATTCGAATGTTCAAGTTTAAGATAAAGTTCCCATGCAAGACGTGGTTTCCCATTATAGATATAACATCGTGCTAACCAACTTAAATAAACATAATCATTTTTTAGTTTTTCACTTTGAATAAGTAGAAATGCCTAAAATAAAATAAAGAAAAATATGTTTTAATGATAAGTTTACATTAAATAAAGTAGATTTT